AACAACACCATATAAGGCATGATGAACAAAAGATGTTCGTACCAAGGCTAGACCAAGATGCACCATGTTCTCTACCTCAGAAAGGGTCTTATAAACAAGTGAACGGGACCATGTAAAGCTAGAGAATATATAGCACAAAACTTACAAAAACAGACAATTCAATCGTATTTTTTTAGACTTTGCAATTATGCTTATTTCCATGGAATGATAAGGACCATACCTCCAGACCTAATGCTGAAACGCAGTATGGCAGCGCGAATCATTTACGGCTACGCTAGAGATTTCGGCCCCGACACCGCTATCCGAGGACTTACAGACTGATCAAGAAGCTCGGTCGAAGCCTAAAGGAGAGGTTATTCGGCCCCTAGACTGTAGATGATTAACCCCTTGCTATGAACAGCATTGCCCGGTAAAAACATCGCGTCTCTGATGCTCATTATCAATCCACTCCATGTGGGACGTTTTAAACGAAAACTTTAAGGTAGTACCGGATCTTCAAAATTCTTCTATGAATTTTTTTAAAAATTCTGACATTTGAAGTTCATTGTTAGGGTATTCAAATAATGAAAAAAAAGAAGGGGGTCACCGTATTGGTTATCGAGATATAAGGCTTCAAAAAGGAGGGATTTTTCAGTTTTCCGCGCGTTTTTGCCGAAAATCTGCCTCCTCTAATAAATTCGAATTACTCGAATCGATTTAACAAAGAAAAACTGTATTAAACTATAGGTGTTGAGTCTAAAAAACATATCTAGATAAAAAATCTATCCAATCTTTTGCAAGTAGTGTGAAAAGTTAATTCTAGAAGCGAAATTGCTTGTAATTCGGCGCAGTTATATGCATGTGTAGTTGTAAAAATGTTGAAAATTCATGATAATTTTAATTATGAATTTTTTTCTTTCCGCACTAAATCTAAAGAATATGATATCTAGCTACGAATGAAAATAAAAAAATGGGGGTCACCTTATTAATAGACGAGCTATGAGCGACTAAATCCAAGTTTTTGGTCAAAAAAAAAAAACACAAATCCTGTCCGCGCGGGACTGGGTTCTAGTACATTAACCTCCGTCTGAAACATGTCAAATCGTCTTTGTAGTCTCCAGAGAATCTAAGACGTATTTCGAATTGATTTTGAGAATAACATGTCAAATTTATTTTTTGCTACTTCATTTTCATAAAGTTATGAATTTGTTGTTTTGAATCAAAAGAGTGATCAAGTCAGGCAATGAAAATCTAAGCATGTTTTGAAAACATTTCATTTTTGCCTCAAACGTTCCATGAATTAGCGAAATACTTTGTTAAGTTATAGAAAAGGATTCAACTTCTGACATTATTTAAATCAATTTTCAAAACAGCGCAAATAAAGGGTAAAAAACGAGATGCGCGAAATGGATGCGCAGTAGCAAGGGTCCGGAACTACCTTAGGTTGAGTAAAAATTTCTCCACGGGGTTCTACACTTTCACTATGAGGGTCACGACATTCAAAAATTGGAATTGTCTAGAAATAATGTATGAATGTATTTTATCTTATCAAAAAATAAATGTATCTTACGATGTTGGCAATTGACACCAGTATATGTTGGCTGACATGCGCAATCATAACCATTCAGTTTATCTGTACAGATGCCCCCATTTTGACAAGGCTCAGATTGACACTCGTTGATCTTATACTCGCAGTTTGCTCCTGAGTAGCCCGCGGAACATTGACAAATATAGAATCCATTGCGGTCGATGCATTTCCCGTTATTTTGACAGGGGTTGGTTTTGCAGTCATTGTCGTTGATTTGGCAGATTTGTCCACTGAATCCTTTTCTACAGAGACACTGAAAGGAATCCACTCCACCTAAAAACATTGAAAACATTTATGCAAGTCAGTGCGCATTATTAGCTCTGATCTTCAAGCCATGGCAAAAATTCAAAGTATCGGGCGATTATGAATTTTTAATATTTGAATAGCTATTCTATTAGTGTTTTTGTGCTTGGATAATATTATTAAAGATGTGAATAATGTTTCAGAAGTCCATAACTAGTATAGTTATATATTTAAGGATCGAAAAGGTCTATTAAGACGAAACTATTTTCCGTAAAGAACCTTGATTTTTAACGCATAAAATATTATTTTAAAGGTTTAGAAGCTCGTACCATGGAGTCTAGTTATGAACTTCTGGTTTCGTCAAGCACATTTTTCTCTGAAAAAAAATTACATGCTTTCAGTTCGACCCCGTTGAGCTGCGCCACTGCTGCACATGCGGTGGTGATTAGCGATGACAAGTTTGTTTTTAATTTGAGCTTAGTCTAACTCATGACCCACTGGGATTCTTTCAGTTCAAGATTTCCTCCGAGACTTACCAATACAGACAGCGTTGTTGTGGCACATATTTAAAGCACATTCATCGGTGTTTCGCTCACAGAACTGTCCTTCATAACCAACAGGACACTCACACTCGGCACCTGCTCCTTTCTCCTTACACGTGCCGCGCACACAAGGATTCTTGGTCTTACAGGTCTCGATCATCTTCTCACATTTAGTTCCATTGTATCCTTCAGGGCACAAACAAGTGTAACCATTAACCTGGAAAACGAATGTAAATAGTTAATGCTACCTTATTAATTTCCTGCCATACTCCCTAAAAAGACTGGCGGCGACCGTATGGTACAAAGGATATTGGAACGAAAGATTGATAGTGTAACCTTTGTTTCCGGTTCAAATGCAATTTCGCAATCCATTGGACCATAAAGTCATAACCAGTCTATACATGAGCTTTGATCCGGAACATGAGGCAAACATTTTCGCGTGATTGCTACATCACGACAGCAATTCTATGATTTCAAAACCTTTTCGGTTTTGCGGGAAACCGCCAGTTCAGTAGCGATACCTCACAAACCCTTCTCACAGATGATAATGAGCCTAGAAAATGCGCAGGGGAAGCACGCTACCCTTTCCTCCTAGATGGGCTGATATCTAGTGCATTATTTGAGTATGTAAGCAAAAGGTGCACCCCCACCTAGAAAAAATCTTGGATCCGCCCCTGATGCGATAATATATTAATATCTATTACTACAATAGTGGTTAATATATAAATATCTTCGACTTTTACAGATGTATTCAAAATAAAAACGAACCTTATCAAGGCAGGTTGCACCTTGTGAGCAAGGATTGACAGCGCACTCATCAATGTCTATCTGACATCTGTTTCCCATAAATCCCGCGTTACATTTGCATCTGTAAGATTCTTTCGTGTCTATACACTTGCCATTGTTTTGACATGGGCTAGACATACAGTCATTGACCTCTGCAAATCCAAAGTAAGATATTTAAAAGCGCTCCTTGACTCTGTTTCTCACGGTTATGAAGTCTTAGTATCAATTTGTAATTCATTATAGCATAGCATTTTTTTTTTTTTAATATGAAACCTTGTTCTCTGAGGAGCAATACGAGATCTTGAATGGGAAACATTACATTCATTACTGTAATTGCTGTAGACTTTATTTTCCCAGTGAAAACTATGTAAAGTTGTTTTGTTGCGCAAAGCAGATACACCTACTTGCAAGAACGTTGATATACGAAAATAGAACATTAGTGATTTAGCGAGAAAGGAATACATTAAAAGACAAAAGAAGATCACTGAAGCTGAACTTTTACTTTTGTCTTTTAATGTATTCCTTTCTCACAAATTACTAATGTTCTAATATCGTATGGCAACGTTCTTGCAAGTAGGTGTACTTTCCTTACTCTTAGCTTTGCAACCATGAAAATGTATTGCGCGCAGAGGTAATAATAAGAGCCACATTTAATCTGCAATTTGCAACGCAACGACGTTACGCGACAGGCTGCGCGATTTAGCTGCTCGTATTACCGCCTTTTAGGGTACTACAGTAATAAATATATAATATTTTTTCTTGTATTTTGTTAGATACTCCGCATTCTTTCTTTTTACACTACGCGAGGTAATAAGGGTTAAATTGTTTGCAAATACCAACGAATATTTTTACAAATAACTGTACAGAAGTATTACTAAGAAAAAAAAACGTTGCCTTACCAAAGCAGCTAGAAGACGAGTCAGCACCGGTTCCATAAGTAGATAGTCTTCCAGGACATGGAAGACATGTTGTTTGTCCAAGTTGATGTTGATACGTCCCTAAGGGGCATGGGGTACAGGGCTCGACGCTGTTACTTGAAAACGTTCCTGGGGCACACTTCACTAAACAATACAAAAATATGACGATAAGTTTTTGTAGCATACATCAGTATACATCACCAACGTATTGGTATCTACCATACGTTTAATTCCCGCTCCATCAACTATGGTTTAATTAAAGGGAGCGCAGGTATTGTTTTTTCAGTATAAATTACAGTAAATGCATGCGTTGATAAAAAGATCGTTCCGTCCTAGCTAAGAACAAAACACAAAAGAACGGTAGGAGAAAAATTCTAAAATTTTCAACAAAAAATATCATTGGGCTAAAAAAAAGATATATTGTTAACCATATTTTCAATTTTCAGTATTATACTAACACAAAACAAAGCTTGAGTTGCCTGTGAGTAAAGCAGTACGATGCCAAATAAAATCTTATTGTGCACTATATACTTACTTCCACAGTCTTCAAGTCTTGTTGATGTAGCAGCCACTGAAGTGGTTCCCGCGGGACACACGGTGCAGTTCTTGTTTCTTCTTTCGTTCGAGTAGGTTCCTGCGGGACACTGGAAGCAAACAGCAATGCCGGAGTTTGAGAAGTAACCAGGTCCGCACTCAGCTGTAGAGAAATAATAAGAATTCTTTCAATGTGAATCAACAATAGTTAACTGTTGCAATATGGTATGTCTGCAACCATTATTTCTAACCGTTTTCGCACTCACTTACTCACCCACTGATCCATCCATCCATCCAAACAAACACACACACACACTCACATCAGTTCAAAGCTGTCATTGAATAGATCTAAAGACCCCTAAATCTTAGACGTAATGTTTCCCCATTTTAGACCACGTGTCATTCTATTAAGGATAAGATTCTTTGTTTGAATGTATCCATCTTCATATTCTACCTATTTGCAACCGTTAAACAAAGAAATGATACTCCAGGGAAATGGCACGTGGTCTGAAATGGGAAAACGTTACCCCAACGTAAAGAGGGCTATCGTTTACCTTGGCATGAAGTAAAGTTCTCTTTTTTGTCCCCAAAGGTCCATGTTCCCAAGGGGCACTTTTTGCACTCAAGTGCTCCTTCATTCGGCGAATATGATCCCTCGGGACATATGTYACAATCTTCCTTGTCACTGTTGTAATAGGTACCCACTGGACAACGGACTAGAAGCAAAATAAAATACCAAATATTACAAACAGAAATGATGCGTTTG